GAAAATGGAACGACCTGTATTGATACCTCTGGAGAACCTCAGCTTCTGGAACTAACATGTTAGAAGTATCATGAGAGAGCTGCAAAAAAGGGAGTTTATATCACTGGAAGTGGTGGCTTTGACTCCATTCCAGCAGATCTGGGAGTAACATATGCCAGAAATAAAATGAGTGATCCTTGGCTATGCAGAGTTTCATGACTGTACATTCAGGACCCAAGGGGTTGTGCACTCCTGAGGGTACCTAGAAGTCAGCAGCTTATGGTTTTGGAGGTCACAGTGATTTGAAAGAACTACGAAATGAGTCAAACCTGAAACCTATCCCAATTATTGGTCCAAAACTGAAAAGAGGGTGACCAATTTCTTACTGCAGAGAATTCAGCAATTATTCCATTCCTTTCTTGGAGTGGATCTGTCTGTTGTGAAGCAGGCTCAGTAGTAATTGCATGAAAAGTTAGAGCAACCACCTGTTCAATATGCTGCTTACAGAACTGCGGGTGGCTCTACCACTGTCATTAAGCTGATGTTTGCGACACTTTACTCTTTGTGATGTTTGGCATTGGAAGGCAACTTCTCATAAAATTCCTGTGGCTCTTCTCCTTTGGTTATTTTTCAAAACAAGGTCCAACACAAAAACAGACTGATGCCTCATCATTTACGATGATATTCTGAGGTCAAAGAGACAGCCCAGACTTTGATATTGACAAGAACAGAATTTGTACTCAAGTGAAAGGACCAGAGGCTGGCTTCTTAGCCATCCCCATAGCCATGGTCCTAGCAGCCATAACTCTTTTGAATGCCTCTGACCTTCCTAAGGTGGGCGGGGTCTTCACATCTGGAGCCTCTTTCTCCAGAAACAAGTTGACTGACAGACTCGACCAATGTGGCATTGAATTTAGTGTCATTAGCAGCTCTGAAGTCTAAACACTTGAAGAACTAACCACAGTCATAAAATACATGAATTAACAGCTTTTTGATTTTTGAAATTTTTCTCAAGCCTGTCTATGTGTGGAAAAGATTACTAAATCTAAAATATGTACACATGAAAAGCAGGAAATTATACTAACTTACCCTAACTTTCAAATCTTAGCTGATTTTGTGATTTTATTGCTTGTGAGAGAGATCAAATATTTGACTTTTTCACTGAAGAATTCATGTTCGATTTTTAAAGTGAGCTGGCAGATCGGAGAGTGGGATGGGGGTCTCCAACCGTGCTGCTGGCAGATCCCTTGATGAGGTGCTGGGCTAGTGTTATGTGTGGGTCTTTGCCAAACGAAACTGCATTTTTTGCTGTTTTAGTTTAGTTTTTTACTTATCTATACTGACTGATTTTGGACTTACCTAAATTGAATAATAAAGGATTGTCCATCAAAAAAAAATAATAAATAAATCGAGTATGACCTAAAGTTGCTTTTACCCATGCATATTTATAACACACCAGAATGTCAGTTGAGAATCTCTGATCAATTGCACTGCAGAGGCAGAACTGAGGAACACAGAGCAATGGATAGTATCTGGTCACAAAGCTAAAACGAATGTCTTAAGTTCATTGC